TCTCTGTCCTGCCTCTCATTTGCGCCAAAGGAAAAAACCTTACACCAACCATAAATAAAACTAGGAATATTTTTTTCTTTTTTTTTTTTTTTATTTAGTTATTTATTTATTTTGGAGACAGGGTCTCACTATGCAGTTCAGGCTGGCCTTGAGCTTACTTTGTAGCCGAAGCTGGTCTTGAACTCACAATGATCCTCCTGCCTCAGCTTCCCAAGTGCTGGGATTACTGATTGCACCACCACACCTGGCTTATCTTAATACTGTTATGTCTTATTTTCTACTTCTGTACAAAAAGTATGGATTAAAGCACGTTTTAAAAATTTCATTTAACCTGGGTTGTTTGAACATAAATGGTAAGACACATACATAAAATATTGGATACATACATACCAATATCTTTTTATCTTTTTCAGGAAAAAGATGAGTGATATTCGGCCCAAAATGGAAGTGTGTCCTTATTGTAAGAAGCCATTTAAACGATTAAAGTCCCATTTGCCATACTGTAAGATGATAGGACCAACCATTCCTACTGATCAAAAAGTTTCTCAGTTGAAGCCATCTACCCATCCACATGCTAAAAAAGTGAAGGAGCTGATCAGAGACTTGACTGAACCTAAAGGGAAAGAATTTAAGACAAAGAATGAGGAAAGAAATACCAAATTGAGACTGCACAAACCAAGACAAACAATTGCTTCCTGTCCACAACCAGCTGTTGGCTTGGAAAGAGCAAGTACTACAAAGACAGATACAGACATCAAAGATCAAAATCAGTTTGCCTTCAAAATGTTACAACATACTGAACCAAAGATTACTTCCCAAGGGGAAACTAAAGCTCAGTTTTATGCATCAAATGACAATTCTAAACGAGAACTTGCCAAAGATATGCCTGAATCAGAGGAAAGTAGGTATAATCCTTCAGAAACAGAAGCATTGTTACTGGCTGACTCAGTGGGACCTTCTCTGTTGAATCAAGATAGGAAATATTCCTCAGCTGTACCTAATAATGCACAAGCCACGTCTGCAAATTTGAAAGTGGACACAGTTGACCCCCAAAGACAGGGGCTTCTAGTAAAACCACTAGATATGCCTACTGGTGATAGCCATCAGTCTCCAAGGAATCTCACTCATAGGGCTCAAAAAATAACAGTAGCAGTGTTAAGCAAGGAGAGAGATTCCAAAGGTAGAGATCACCTCTCAGGAATCTTCACTGGTGTTGAAGACACTGAGACTCGGGAAAAGAACTCAGAATCACTCATGGTAGGCCCTCACATGAGCCCGTTAGCTAAAACCCGAGTTGAGAAGAGTAAAGAAAAAGGACTTGGGCTTGGAGTAGAGAGGTGTGGGAGCAAAGGAAATGCAGAGAAAAATAGAACTGAAACAGAGACGCAGAAGTGGGATTCTGTCAGCCATAGCTCTAAGAACGGCAGCTCTGGTGATTCAGCCACAGAAGAGAAATTGAAAGATGAAGGTCCACTTTTACATTTGTTCAGTCCACCTGAGGCAGCTTACAGTGAGTTTCTTCCTGCATTGCAGTCAGATAATCGAAGTCTTTCCTCTCTGGCTACAGCATCTCTTCAAGAAGAGAAAGCAGAATTCTGTAGTCATAACCAAGTTCCACTAAGGGAAAGTAAGGAACAAGGGTCTCTGGAGCTCAAATCTGGCTGTCAGCCCAAGACTTTACGTACTAGGTACCAGCAATCTACGTATTCTGCCCAGCATTACCTTTCTAAAAGCGCCTTTGTTAATGATGGTGCCATAGACAGAAAGACTCTTCCCAGCTCCATGGGGCTGGAGTGGTTTCCAGAGCTTTATTCTGGCTATCTTGGACTAGGAATATTGGCAGGGAAGCCTCAGTATTGGCCTTCAATGGCCCAGAAGCGTCAGCTCAGCGGTCCTCAGTGGGGAAGTTTCTCACAAGGTAAAGCTTATTCTCAGGGACCTTCCAGCCTGTCCATAATGCTTTGTGCTTTTGGAATAGGGGTCAGAATACTAATATTTTCATCATGTAGCTTATTTTCTTGTAGGCACTATAAAAGTCCAGTGGACTTAGAATTGTGAAAACATTCCTTCTTGTTCCTAGGATCAGGTTGCTCCTAGTTATGGTTTAGTAGATGGATATTCAAACTGAACAGACTTGCAAAAAAAAAGCACAGACTTGAACATTCAGTCAGGACCAGATTAGACAGGAAATGGGTTCCGGGTTTATGATAAAATGCAACACCTAGAAATTTAGCAGGGAAGGTACGAACAGAAGCTATTTGTGGAGTTGGGAATAGGATAGGGTTAAAACTGGCCAGGTGACAATGGTAGTCAAGACAGATGGAATTGGAGCCTGAGGAGATAAACCAGTAAAGGTCAAGGACAAGAAATGCAGAAATAGAGGCTGTGGCAAAAAGGATATAGAAGTCTACGCACTAAGATTACAACTAGGCCACAGAGAGCAGGACCCAAGAACAGCCAGAGATTGAGCCTTGAGACCTGAAAGGTTAGGTAAGAAGGACTTGGAGAGAGAGGCTGGGCATTGAAACTGTCTGCAGGTGTCAGTGTGTCTCTGCAGAAGCTTTTTACATGCTCCTGGCTGATAACTAAAATACGTGAACGGAAGAGGCTGGCTCAAGTAGGAGCCAGAAGGTTCCTGACAGGCATTTTAAGTGCAATAGTCTCATTTTTTCCTGCTGAATCTTATCTTTAGTTACTGAATTACTTTTCTGGTTATAATATGTAAAGTTTCATCATTTTGCTCACCAGGAAGGTGCGGGTGGGAGTTGATTTTTTTAAAGACTTTATAGGGACATGAAGAGCACCTTTGTATTTCTAGTGTAGTAGTCTCTGTTGCTTTCAGGCTTATTTTGACAGGACACCTGTAACAACTTGGAATTAGTTTGCTCCTGAAAAGCTGATCTTACGTCTTCCTAAAAGGAGTTTTTCTCTTTCTGGTGTATTTTGCAGGTCACATATGATATGATCACACATTCCTTGAGGCCCTTTTGTCTGGTCTCAAAAGCATTTTGCCTTTTTTAATTTTAATTTTTCCCTCAACCCCAGCTCAGTGCTGGGAATTGAATCTAGAGCCTTGGTGCTGAACTACAAGCTAACCTGTTAATATTTTTTGAAATATGATCTTGCTAAGTTGCCCAAGCTGAGTGATCCTCCTGCCTCAGCTACTCTGGAATCTAAAGCAAAAGAATCCTAAATTCAAGGCTAGCCCGAACAACTTAGGGAGACCTTGTCTTAAACTAAAAAATTTAGGAAGGCTGGTGAGATAGGTCAGTGATAGGGCACTTGCCTGGCATATGTGAGGCCATGCATTCAATCCCCAGTACCTCGTCAAAAAGCATTTCTTTGGAATTATAATTGTCCATTACTTGGTCCTTTTTTGTTTGGTTGGTGTTTGTTTGGTACTAGGGATTGAACTTAGGCCCTCCTGTGTGCTAATAAGCTTGTAGTCTGCCATTGTGCTATACCCCCACCCACTAATTATTCTTTTCTAGTGGCTTTCAGCGCAGTATATATTAAGGAAAGTATTGCTAGCTAAAGCTACATTTTCCTCAACTACCTCAGTAGACACAGGTTTTTCCACAAATGAGCCTAACATCTAGACTTTTTGTGCAAAAGTTGTAGTCTCTGGATCAAACTTCTCCATGTGAAACACAGACTTAGTAATTTTAATGTTTGTGTTCCTGAGCAGTTTTTGGAGTACTTCCATCTCTATTTTGCAAATCATGAAACAGGCACAGAAAGTATGTGATTTGCCCAAGGTTATACTGCCAGTAAATGTAGAATTGTAAGTAGAACCTAGTCTCCTGGGGCCTAGGTTGACGCTTTTCACCTAAGCCTGATTGTGGAAGTACACCATAATGAGAATAGTGTCCTACTTCTTGGAGTTTTTCAGTTGCTTACACACGTACTTATTCCATGATAAATCTTTCTAGCAAATAGAAGGACTTCTTTATTTTCTGTTCTTTTGTAGTGCTAAGAAGTATCCTTGATACAGCCACCTTTTTTGGGGGGGGGTCTTTTTGAGACAGGGTCTCATTATGCAGTTCAGGCTGACCTTGAACTGACTTTGTAATCCAGGCTGGTCTCAAACTCCCAGTGATCCTCCTGCCTCAGCCTCCCAGGTGCTGGGATTACAGGCTTGTGTCACCATTCATGGCCTCATTTTAGAGGAAAAAAAGAAAAGATTAGTGTTTATCAGTGATGACTTTTACACCTTATATAGTGTTTGATTTAATGCTCATGGAAGCTCTGAGGTGGTACTACTGCCCCACACTCGTATATAAGAGGAACCTGAGCCTCAGACATCTGAAGTGACTTGTTCAGATTTATATAGTATGTGATAGTCAGGATTCAAATCCAGGCCCATCCAGGCATGGTAGTACATACCTGTATCTTCCACACTTAAGAGGCTGAGGCAGGAGGATTGCTGTGAGTTCAAAGCCAGCCTGAACTGCATAGTGAAACCCTGTCTCAGCAAGACCAAAAACCATGCCCACCTGACTCTTCTGTCTGTGATCTTTAAACTCTACCTGTAGAGTAGTTAGTGGTCAGTATCTTATTTGATATGTTATTAGTGAATTCATTTCACTTAAATGGATCCCAAGATAACAGTAATAAATGATACATAACATCAAATCACCAGTCTCATGAGACAGAATATGGGGAACAAATAGAATTTTTCCTTCAACAAGAATTAATTCCTAGCCAGGCATGGTGGCACACACCTGTGATCCCAGCACTCAGGAGGCTGAGGCAGGAGAGTTGCTGTGAGTTCGAGGTCAGCCTCAGCTACATAACAAGACCCTTGGCTCAAAAAAAAAAACAAAAAGAATTCCTAAATAGTGGCTAGAAACTATATAGTATTGTGATTAGATTGGTACTTCTTTATCAGTCAGGTCTAGTCATCATAGGGCCCCTGCCTCTGTTAACTGAGAAAGTATTAGAAGTTGGATCCAGGATTAATGTTCAGACTTTGATGCTATTAATTGATGAACAGAAGCTGCTAGGACAGTGGTGGCAAACCTGGTGGCAAACCTATGGCATGTGTGTGGCAGCAGGCTGTTTCTATCATTGAAAGCTCTAAAAGATTCACTATCACTGCTTTAGGATAGCAGTTAAGGTCACGACTTGGTCCCTTGGCTGGCAAAGGATCAGCAGGGCCACCTCAGTCTATAAGAATTGAAAAGTAATGTCCTTATCGACTCAAAAATCCTTGTAATTTCACTAGGAAATGGCTACCTCCAATGACTGCAAATTAAAGTTGAACTTTCATGGAGTCCTACACAAGAGCATGGGCTGTGCCCTCCCTTGCTTAGATAAGATTTTGAGGTCACTTTCCCTCCTCTCAGGAAGCCAATTCCTTCTTTCCATGCTTCAAGACAGGGCCAGTGGGCAGTAATCATTGAGTTCACTGTCAGGCCATGATACTTTCAAGATTAACTAGGTTTTCTCAGGTCGTCCTTATACTAGGCTTGGGAGATTGGTGATATGGCCTGTTACAGGTGAGGACCCTGAGTTTCAGAGAAGAAAAATAACTTTCTGACATCAATTTCAGCTAGCAGCACCTCACACTACCTATCAGTCATTGCCTCGCTTGTCCGAGAAGCATTTCTTAGTCTGTGGGCTTCAGGATCATGTCAGATGTGTTTCTAACATCAGGATACCCATCCCAGGAGATTGCCCTCATCCGTCAGGGCAGCTGAGGTGACATGAGTCCAGCCCACCAGATGAGGTTGGCTCCTAGGCTTTGAGAGATACAAAAGACTTGACATTTGGGTGAAGCAGCATAGAACTTCCTTAAAAGAAAATGGATGTGTTTCGGTAGCCTGGAATAGGAAGTGCCAAAGCAGACCAGTGAGGAAGGCACTGGGGCTAGGGTTAGTCAACCAAGAATAAGAACTCAAGCGGAGTCTGCTGCCACAGGCCTGTAACCCCAGCACTCTGGTAGGCTGAGGCAGAAGGATCATAAGTTCAAGCCCAGCTTGGGCAATTTAATGATTTACTAAGATCCTGTCTCAAAATGTTTAAAAGGCTGGGGATGTAGCTTGGTGTGAAGACCCTGGGTTCAGTCACAAGCACTTCAACAACGACAAAATGAAATTCAGAATTTAAGTACCAAGAGATTCTATGCTTTCAGCAGTCGAAGTTGGCATTCCTTGTGCAGATGAAGTCTGTTGGAGCCCTCATGGCCTTGAAACGTACAGGGCTGTAAGTTGTTGTCAGAGTCTTTGCAGACTTCTGGGTACCTTGGCTTTTGGGACTTGTAATTTAAGAGAGATCTGTGTCCTTGCTTTCCAAACCTGGGCAATTACTTTCCATCCTCAGCTCCACCCAAAAAATTAATTAATTTTGCATGGTGCATTTTAAAGATTCCAAGGCATCCCCCAGAGACTGATTCCAGCATCAGGTCCAGGAATTACTTTTTTAAACAGCCCTTAGATGCTTCTGAAGAGCAGCTGCATTTGAGAACACTGATCTAAGGGATGATACTGAAGCAGGCACCTCAGGCCCAGCAGGGGAACGTTTCCCAACAAACTGGGGAAACGGGAAGAGGCTAATTTGAGATAGACATAGTTCATCGAACTGCAAAGAGCAAAACTTGGCCAGTGGGGATGCAAAAAGATAAAGTGAGAAAGTTTGAAAGGGTCATGACTTTTTTAAAAGGCCAAGAACTGGCTCGATAAAAGCTGTTCTTTGATGCTCAGATGAGATTTCTGTCAGTAGGGTAGCTGCAGAGAAAGGGCTCCATCTAGTTAGGATTAGAGTGAGCAGGTTAATGACAATCCTGGACTAAGGCCACTGCCAGCCAGGGACTGTGAGAAGAGAATGTTTTAGATCACAGCACAGCTTCAGGCATCAGCCAAAATATGAATGTGAGTTGTGTGCAGCAGGGTAAAGGAGGAGTTAGGTTGTACCTCCGGGATTCTGACCAGACAGGAAGGACAAGAGAAAGCTTGGAGGTTGCCTGGGAGTGGAGTTGTATTAGAGAATGGAGCCTTTGTCTGCAGGTTTAGCCCCAAAGCAGGGTTCAGGATATGAGGATATTGATACTGGCAGATGAAAACAAGGCAGTGTGCGTCTAGGAGGTAAGGCAGCAGGGGTGAGGGGAGGATGCTATCAGCAGTCCTGGATGCACAGTGGGAACCCAGGCAGCATGTAAGGGACACAGCCCAGAACCAGTGTGCCTGGGTGGTAGGCAAGAAAAACATGGAAACAGGTATTGCAGGCCTATGGGAACCTCTCCCCAGAGGGATCCTTCTGCCTCAGCCTACCAGAGTGCTGGGGTTACAGGCCTGTGGCACCAGACTCAGCTTGAGTTCTTATTCTTGGTTGACTAACCCTAGCCCCAGTGCCTTCCTCACTTGTCTGCTTTGGCACTTCCTATTCCTCTGCTTCCTGTATGATCCTAGATCAGGGACTCACCCGGTGCCATTCACATAGGTTTGCCTGAACCTATAGGTGGGAATAAATAAGCCCAGCTGACTGAAGGATAGCAAGTCCAAGGAGCCACATGGTTCCTGACACTGCTGATAAGGCAGGTGCACAGTTGCAGGTTTCATGAGGTCACACTTTTTAACTAAGAGACCAATGTTTGCCTTGCAGGAGCTAATCTATGTAAGTTTTTAGAAATCATCCTAGTTCATTGTTATTTAATATAATGATCATTTGTTAGTGTTTTATATCCGCAGCAACTTTTATCACACTTGCTAAACCTGTCAACAATAATTGCTTAAGTTATCCTTTTTTTTTTAACAAGCCAAACCAATACCAGGGAACCATTGGTAATAGAGCTTACTTGCCTGTATTAAAAATTGAAAAAATAATCAGGGAGATCGGTTTTATCTCCTTTTATAGTTAAGGAACCTGAGTCCCCATTGCCAAAAACAAACAAAAAGATTGAATCACCCCCACCCCTTCCCCTAAATTGTCTGGGCTGCGCTTGAACTTGATATTCTTTTGCCTTGGTCTCTCAGAGTGTTGGTTTGTTTTTTTGTTTGTTTTTTTTTGTTGTTGTTGTTGTTTTTGGTTTTTCTCCGGTACCGGGAACCGAACTCATGACCTTGCGCTTGCCAGGCAGGCGCTTTTGCCGCTGAGCTAAATCCCCAGCCCCAGAGTGTTGGGAATTACAGGTGTACACCATCAAACTTGGCTAAGAATTTCATTCTTAGATTTGGGTTCCATCCACAAGGTAAATAATTTTTTATATATGCAAATAATTAATTTTTTAAAAGATCCACAATCTGGGAAGACTTGTGGTCCCAAGCATTTCAGGTGAGGGATACTTAATATGAAGTATGAAGTCATGCTTTTTGCTTGTTTTGCAGCTGGTAGAACTTATGTGTAATGCATTTGGTTAAGCATGTGCACACAAATCAGATGATCTGGACAGTGTATTCACCAATCAGAAATGAATATTGGGTCCTGATTGCCAGTGGCTCCCTCAGTCAGAAACTTTTTTTGACTTGGAGCAGATTTAGCTGTCAACACTTAGTAAAAATTCAATGCAGAGATGGTTAATCCACCTATTTAGAATATCCTTTTCCTTCGGCCCAGCAATGGGAACCTGTACTGAATGTTGGGGAAGAGGGTGAATTTATACGAATATCACAGTGACCTCTGTTTGGAACCTTAGTTCCCTTGTTGGAAAGAAGTTCAACTGATCTAAAGAGTTTGGAACCCCCAACCAGGCTTGCAATCTCCAACTTCCCTCTAATGAGGCTCTTGGGAGCTGTGCAAAAAGGTGAGGCTAGGGGCTGGGGATTTAGCTCAGCGGCAAAGCACCTGCCTGGCAAGCGCAAGGTCGTGAGTTCGGTTCCCGGTACCGGACAAAAACAAAACAAAACAAAAAAAATAATAAAAGGCACAAGTTGAAAATATTTTTTTTTAAAAAAAGGTGAGGCTAGAGTTTCTGACAGTTGGTTTCTGTTGCTGGCTGTAGGCATTTGGAGAAGCTTCTCTTACCATAGACTGTTAAAAGTGAGGAGAAGGAAAAGAGAATAATGGTTTTTGTCTTCTGTTTTCATTTTGTAGTTGGGCATCATTAGAAGTATCAAAGCTAATATAGCAGCATCTACCATTTGTTGGACAACTTTTAATGTTTAATACCTACCCCTGCCTCTCGCACACCTACCCCCAACCCCTCCTGCCCATTTTGATCATGCCTCCTCCCACAGCCAGGAGGATGCTAAATCTTGGTTTAACCAATTGCATTAGTCTCTACCCCACTGAAGATTGTAACCCACCTCCCAAATAAGAGGATAAGTAATTTGAATTTGTTAAAGTCTTCTGGATTCTAGCTTTTTCATCTGCCTAAACTATGTCTCTTGGATATGTATGTGTGTGTGAATTCTCTGAGTTAGAATTCTATCAACCAGGCTAAGTGGGATAGCTTCAATAATGTAGATAATGGCCACATTCTGGGTCAGTATAACAATTAGACATGTTTCTTTTTGGGCAGGCTGGGTCCGGTGCAACACCACCATAAAGAAGAGTGGAGTTGGCGGCATCACGATGCTCTTTACTGGGTACTTCATCCTGTGCTGTAGCTGGAGCTTCAAGCATCTGAGTAAGCCTTTTTACATTTTAGCCTAAATTACGGGTGACATCCCAGTACAGAGACTCCAAGGGATTAGCAGAACGGCTTTTCCTCTTAGTTTTGCAGTATCTGAAATGACCTAGTGAATGAACTATTATCTGAGGCACTGGGAGTTTTATTAGAGGTTTTGTTTATAATAGCCTTTGGAAGATTTGACTAGAATTTACATAATTGCCCTTATGATCCATTTTATGTTGTCACCGGTGGTCTGTTTTCTCTCGTCAGCTGTTTCCCTGCCAGAGGAAAGGTGTTCTCCTTGGTCCAGAAGAATTTAATTTTAGCAGTGAAACTAAATGGTTCTGTACCACAAGAAAGGAGGAAAGAACACTTGTCATTTGTTAATGTTCTAAGACTTACAGCTCTTAATCTACTTCTGACAGCTCAGAGCAAACACCCTTCTAATTATGAGATTCAGCTTACACCAAACCTTAACATAAGGAAAATGCTGGAGTTTAATTTTTTAGTTCAAGATAATGTTAAAATATCATATTATAAAAACAGATCTTAATTTTTTTTAAAAAAAGTAGTTTATAGGAAGCTATCAAAAAATTCCAGCGTTTTCCTTTCTCTTTCAATTTTTACTTTTGGTGGCACTAGAGACCCGAATGCAGGCCCTTACACTGAACTACATTCCCAGTGTTTTATTTTTTATTTCGAGACAGGGTCTTGCTAAGTTGCCCAGGCTGAACTAAAACTTGCAGTGGTGCTGCTCAGCCTCTCAGGGTGCTAGGATTACAGTCACATGCCACCCTTTCCACAATTTAGAAAGGAAAAAAAATTTAGACATTTTCAGATTGAAACTTTGAAGTGCAAAAGGCTAATAGCGTAACCTTGGACAGTAAAGGCCAATGTAAGTCAGAAACTGAAGGAAGGTTTTTTAAAAAGAAATCAAGATTGGAGCCAGGTGTGGTAGTGCATGCCTATAATCCCAGCATTTGGCAGGCTGAGGCAGGAGGATTGCTACGGAGTTTGAGGACAACCTGGGCCAGTCTGAACTGTATAGCAAGACCCTGTCTCAAAAAACATTGGGTATTTTTGACTAGAATTATGCCAGGTGAATAGGAGGGCAGGTTACCCAGCAGGAATAGGGCCCCAGAGCCCCTATATTTTGAGTTGAAAGACGTATCCGCCAGCTCTTATGTAAGGCACCTAGCCTTTGGTGAAATTGGAATCTCTACATGAATGGAGAGGCCCAAAAGCAAGATTTATTTCTCCCAGAGAAAATGGTTCCTCTTAGGACTGTATGACTCCAAAAGGGATTATGTAGTTGATAGTTGGTATTTTTAAGTAGATATTTGGTAGATACTGTATTCTTCACATCTATCTATAGTTCAAGACTGAAGTGGGGGCTGGGGATTTAGCTCAGCGGCAAAAGCGCCTGCCTGGCAAGCGCAAGGTCGTGAGTTCAGTTCCCAGTACCGGAAAAAAACCAAAAAAAAAAAAAAGACTGAAGTGGAACAAAAACTTATTGTGCGTGAGACTGTTTCTAAATTTATAAAACAAAGCCAAGCATGGTGGCGCACACCTGTAATCCCAGCACTCAGAAGGCTGAGGCAAGAGGATTGGTACAAGTTCGAAGCCAGTTTGGGCTACAAAGTGAGTTCAAGGACAGCCTGAACTGCATAGTGAAACCCTGTCTCCAAAAAAAGCCAAAAATAAATAAATAAATGTATAAAACAAGAATATACTAATTGGGGAGTGGGAGGGCATTCAGCACTAGAGTACCTGCCTAGCATGCCTGAGGCCCAGGGTTCATTCCTTAGCACGACTAGAAAAAAATTGCCAGATGTTGACACTTTCTTAGTTCCCCAAATCAATAAAGCAAGAACATAAAAAAATGATCTATATGGGTGAAAGGTAGAAACGGTCAGTACAAGTGGCCACTTAGATCCTTACATTGGTCTCTGTTTGTCCAAAGAGCTGCATCGCTGGCATAAGTAATATTGACCTGGACGCCACTTAAAGCTCTGGACGCACAAGGGCAGCGCGGTGGAGACAGCAGCAGTGCAGGTTGAGCACTTTATATTTGTACTGGGACAGGGAAAGGATGTATACAGAATAAACACTAGAATCTAAACCAGTTACACAGAAAGGAAATTTTTTATTAAGGTGGACAGAGCTGGGTCTGTGTGAGTGTTTCTTTGGCTTGCTCTCAAAAGTGATTCATAGTTATTGGAAAAGAACAGTTTTGTTTAATCATAAAATTATTACTCAGCCCAGCATGGTGGTACACGCCTGTAATCTCAGCACTGGGGAGGCTGAGGCAGGAGGATTGCTGCGAGTTCAAGGCCAGCCTGGGCTACAGAGTGAGTTCAAGGCCTGCCTGAATTGCATAGTGAGACCATGCCTCAAAAAGACCAAAAAAAAAAAAAAAAAAAAAAAAAAAAAAAAAAAAGCTGGGTGTGGTGGCGCACATCTGTAATCCTAGCACTTGGGAGACAGGAGGATTGTTGCAAGTTTGAGACCAGCCTGGGCTACAAAGTGAGCTCAAGGCCATCCTGAACTGCATAGCAAGACCGTATCTCAGAAAGATAGATGGATAGATAGATAGATAGATAGATAGATAGATAGATAGATAGGAGACTAAAAATAAAAATAAAATTGTTACTCAAGAAGATAAGATGATAAAGTGTGCCATTTAAACTAAAAAACTTTCTCAACTTTCGTGAAAACTAGTAACTTTTTCTTGGTACTGGGAATCGAACTCAGGACCTTGCACTTGCCAGGCAGGTGCTGTGCCACTGAGCTATAGCCCTGATCCCCAAAACTAGTAACTTTTAAGTCTTTAAATTTTAATCTTGCTAAGATTTTAAATCTTAATCTGCAATCAATTTTAAATCTTTCTCCCTAAAATTGTTCTCTCAATCTTGGTGTCTTACTATTGGTCTGTAGAAGATAATAGACTACATAGATACTGATACAGGATAATTCCCGAATTGGCAGAGAATAAGCTTACCCGAGGCCTTAAGCAGATGCTGACAGGCGTGAGAAACAAAAGCACAGGCTGAAGGCCAGGTGGCAGAGGATTCTGGGAGAAACCCTTACAAACATTCCTACACATTTTTCTACACTGATTAAAATGAAATAGCACACCAAGCAGAATGTTAAAGGCACCTCATGTCTTCACTGAGCATAGTAGTGGGTACATGGCTTCCGTTTATCATCTCTTCCTGAGAACTTCAGAATCCCTCCCCATCTCTTCTCTGGAGTGTTCCTGAATGACTGAGGAAATCCTCTCAATTGCTTGGGGCTGGCTTGGGATGATGGGTTTTCTGGGCCTCGTCCACCTATCAGAGTATTCACTGTCTCTCAAATTTTTTGACTTTGGTCTTGGCCCCCCAGAGAGTAACATGGACACTTCAGAGAAAGCTTTGAGAAGCTTTGCCAGGCAGTGTGGGTGGACAGTGGTTTCTCCAAAGCCATTTCCATCAAGGAGTGGTTATGCATCACCCCCGCAGGACACATGCACTGTATCTCTCTCTATCAGCCTTTTCTCCTCCGTCAGAACCACAAGGAAACGCGTGCTGTCCTAAGGGCAGAGCCTGTTGTGCATTGCTTCCTTCTGTCTTCTTAGAACTTGGGGTTCTGGGGCTGCTGAATCTACCTTTCCTCATCCCACTCCCCTTCCCCTCTCTAAGTAGCCCTGGTGAGAGTAAGCAAAATCTGCAACAGATTCTTATGGCTAAGGAAAAGGTGTTCAGAAGTTAGCCCTCATAAGCTGGAATTCTCCCTATGGAAAGAATCCAAGGGAAAGAGTACTGCATGAGGTTGTGTTAATTTTACTAAGAACGTCATTGAATTGGCACCAAAAAAAAAAACCTTTTTTTTTTTTTTTCAAAAGGCTTCATGCCTATTTTCTGTAAAACACTTTGTGTTGTGTGCTGCCTCCCCCTCCCCCCATAGTAGAGATTGAGCCTGGGCCCTTTGTACTGGGCTACATCCCCAGCATTTTTCTACATTTTTTCAACAGAGTCTTACTAGTTGGCTAAGTTGTGAACCTCCTGCCTCAGCTTCCCAGAATGATGGGGCTGTAGGAGTATGCCACCATCCTAACTAAGTGCCTCCCTTGAAATGAGACATGTAGGGATTCTCTCCACATCTCTCCGTCTGTCTTCCAGGTCAGAAATTCTCAGGGTAGAAGGAATGAGAATGATCACTTGACAGTGTCCTCTTTCCCAGTCTCCTCAGCAAGGGGCAGCTGATGACTGCAGCCCACAGCCGAAATCCAGCCCCCTGCATGTCACAGATAGTCTTGTCGGAACACATCTCTGTACTCGGTGAAGTGTTTTCTATGACTTCCACACTATAGCAGCAGAGTTGAATCATTGCAACAGAGCCTATATGCTTGAAAAAGTGAGATACTACTCAGACCCTTCACAGAGTGACCTGTGCCCTAGAGGAATGTACCATCTTGTGTCATGTGTGAGAGTGAGGAAGAAGAGTAAAACATTTTTGGGTTAGGAAACAGTTAAGTAGAAGCCTTTCTTGCCTTGTCCTGTCTACCGTAGTATATTAGTGCTTCGTGTTGCTCCCTGAGCCACCCATAACATGTAAGTACAGAGATAGCACAAAGGGGTAGCACTTTTTATTAAGAAATTTATTAAGGAATTTTTATTAAGAAAAACTTTTATTAAGAAATTTTTTATTAAGAAATTTATATCTTGGGCTGGGGATTTAGCTCAGCGGCAAAGCGCCTGCCTGGCAAGCGCAAGGTCGTGAGTTTGGTTCCCGGTACCGGAGAAAAACCAAAAACAAAAAAAAAGAAAGAAATTTGTATCTTAGCTGTGTGTGGTGTACATACCTATAATCCCAGGACCCAGGAGGCTGAGGCAGGAGGATTGCCACAGGTTCAAGGCCAGCCTGAATTATATAGCAAGACCCTATCTCAAAAAAAAATTACTGTAAATAAACAAGTATCATTTTCATAATCAGAATGCTAACACAAAATGGAAAACTTTAATCACAATAAATATCCTGTATTCCTAAAAATGTGTTCCTTGAAGAATAGGACTGCTTAACGATCCACCAGTCTTAAAGGGGTATCACATTGCCACGTTTAAGGCAAAGGTGAATCGGGTGCGATGGCACACGCCTGTAATCCCAGCACTTAAGAGGCTTAGGCAGGAGGATCATTGCGAATTCAAGACCGGCCTGGGCTACATAGTGAGCTCAAGGCCAGCCTGAACTGCATAGCGAAACACTGTCTCAAAAAGACAAAAAAAGAAAAAGGACAGAGGTGAGAGCCTAAGAGCCTAAGAAGAGGGAGTTTGGGGCCAGCTAAGTGGGAGGCTGAGACAGTGGATCCTCAGTTCAAAGCCAGCCTCAGCAACTTAGTGAAACCCTGTCTAAAAAAGGAGTAGGTGATATAGCTCAGTGCTCCGAGTTCAATCCCTGTGACTACTTCTCAGTCATCAAGGAATACACCTGTCATCTCTAGTTTGCAGTGTGGGTGTAAGCTTGCCTCTGTTCATCTATGCAAGCATCCCACCAAGCCACTTGCATAGCCAGTCCCAATCCTGTACTGGATCAGACAGATGAACAGCTTCATCCAGAAAGCCCAGAGATGCCTCTCAACACTGGAGTGGTGACAAGTAAGACTGCGGGCTGCAGCAGCCAGTGTGCCTCAGGTGTCAGGCAGTGCAGCTGCTCCTTGTGACACTGAGGGAAAAGACTGCCTCTAATGTGATTTGCCTTTTAAACACTTAATTTTCTCTCAAAATCTTGCTCTTGCACTTCTGCGGCATTGGTGGGAGCTTCCTCGGGTAAGCAGCAATGGTAAGATTTTGCTTGCAGGGCGGCAGCTTGAACTCTTGAGCAAGTCTTCCCGCAGTGTGCCTAGAAAGTCAGCGTGAGTTCCATGCCGGCAATCCAGTCTGCCATCCCATCAACCTGTGGAAGAGTTATGACGGTCCTCAGGCCATCTTCGTCCTCAACAAGATTGGTGCTAAAAGTTAGAAATGTTGTAGGAGGCTGAGGCTCACAAGTTTGCGCCCACCCTGGGCCACTTGGCAAGACCCTGTCCCCAAATCTTCAGAAGGAGCCGGGGATACAGCTCAATGGCCCGGCACCTGCCTGGCAAGTGCAAGGTTCTGAGTTTGATTCCTGGTACAAAAAAAATTTTTCTTCAAAAAAGAGAAACAAAGGAAGACAGCATGCCTTAGCCTCCAGCTGAAACTTACATGCAAATGGATGAACCTACTTTTGCTTAGTCCTGAGTAATACTTGAAATACCGAGATTACAGGGAAACTTTTTCTAAACATTAAGATACTCAGCTATTAGACCGGTGCCATGGCACAGGCCGTAATCCCAGCTGCTTGGAAAGCAGAGACAGAGCAATTATAAGTTCAAAGCCAGCTTGAACAACTTTTACCCTGCCTCAAAATAAAAAGGACAGGGATATAGCTCCGTGGATATACCTCAGTGCTGAGCGTGCATGAGGCCTAGGAGTCCCATCTCTACCAAAAAAAAATGAAGGATCATTTTGTTATATTATCCACAGGATATTCTGTACTTTATGGAATCACTCTTCATAATAAAAGTGTTTTAAAAAATCAAAATACTCTCTGAGCTGATCATTTCCTCCTCTAACCCTCACCAATGAAGTGGTGGGTGTGTCCCTTGAAAGGTTACCCAGGTTCCCAGACCCGTCTTTGTCTGGACTGCAGATTGAGTGGAATCGCACCCACCTTCCAGACACCTGACGCATCTTTTCATTCCACGCTGCTGTTCTGCATCCTGGGAGAGCAGCGGCCCCACTGCCATCTACACTGGCATCCAGCTCACATTGGGCACTTGTGTGTGCCAGTGCTCCGCTGAGTCTTTGGTGTGTGCTTTCTCATATTATCCATGCCACAGCCCTGTGATGAGGGGCTCAGGTTCCAGAATGAAGCAAGGGCTCAAGGAGGTGAAGTAATTTGCCTGCATAGCAAGGTGCTCTTGTCACGTGGCAGCCCAGGATGCTTTCAGCTGCTATTAGGCCCCCAAGTCTGTCCATGGGTCTGCACCTTTTCACAAGGCCTTAGCCCCCGCCCTTCAGCCTGCCAGAGGTCCAAGCTCATCCTGCTGCATGCCTCGTACTGCTCTTTTCCTGTCCATCTCTCCCCAGATCAACTTAGCTCCCACCCTCCTTTCCCAGCAGACTACATGACATTGACGTTTGATTATGTAGCTGCAATTGTGTAGTTAACATTAAACATTCCATACTGCTACCTTACCTCTCCTAGATAAGCATTTTTTGGTACCATCTACTGTCTCATAATTCCCCATATAATACAGCACAGAGTACATTCTCATGTTTAAATAAGCCATACAAGGAAGTAGCTGCTGTGCCAAAGAAGCCATTTGGTTTGCTCACCAGTCTGCAGCTGCACTCGAGGCTGAATGTACTAGATCTGCATGTGGCGGAGCCAGCTGAAGGGGCATGGAGCGGAGTGATGCTCTATTTACCACACACTCGGGCTTTTACTCTCAGTGCCCTGTGCTCCCCAACTTGTGGCTAACTCCTGCCATGGTCAGTCTGCCTCTCATCTTGTATCTTCAGTGGCTTGTTCACCTACAGATCAAAGGAAATAAATCTGCCATGCAGCAGGCTGCCTCTGTACCTCGTATCCTAGCTACGCTGCCAGTGGGCTGGCTCACTCTGGAACGTTGCAAATGGAATCCGTGGTGTGGTTGGGTACCCTTACCAGGAGAGCCTCCACATCCCCAGGCCACAGGTTAGTTTTTGGAACTCCCACCAGTTGAGTAGGTCTGTTTTTCAACATTACAGGAGAAAGTTAATGAGATGAGTGCAAAAGAAAAATCCTAACAGGGCATGGTGGCACACACCTCTAATCCCAGAACTTGGGAGGCTGAGGCAGGAGGATCCCTGTGAATTCAGTGCCAGCCTGGGCTACAAAGTGAGCTCAAGGTCAGCCTAAAATGCATAGCAAGACCCTGTCTCAAAAAGAAAAAAACCCTATATTGTCAAGGGTTTGAACTATAGAAGATAGCTGGCTTTCTGAAGAATGTAATGGCTCTGCTCATAAATGAAGGTTATGTGTGGCCTAAAAAGACCTTGAGAGGCAAGCCCAGCCTTAGGGTTGCAAAAGACAAGGCCCTGAACTTTCAAAAGCCCATAAAGTCAAATACACAGGAAAGCTAAGGGTTCTGTCTGTTGGCAGTCATCCTCTCTTTTTGCACAGTGGAGAAATCAGAGCTCAGGACAGTAGAGAGTCTGTCTCATGGAGGTCTGATAAAAATGGGTGATTTATAAAGAAATGAGGTTTATTTATCTCTTACTTCTTGAGGCTGAAGTCCAAGATCAGGTGGCTATGTTGACTTTATGTCTGATGAAGGCTTTAGGCTGCTCCGTGCATGGCGGAAAAACAGAAGAGCAAGTTGGTGCATGCAAAGGAAGGTCCAGTGGTGAAAACGAAAGTCAGGGGAAGCCCAACTCACCTTATGACAACCTGCTCTCACTCCTGGAACAGCAGTAATCTATTCTATTCCATTGGCATGATCCAGGCACCTCCCACTAGGCCTCACCTCCAACACTGCCACACTGAGGAATTAAAGCCTTCACTTGAGTTTTGGTGGGGACAATCCATATTTAAACCATCTTAGGTGTATGTGTAAATGATGTCCATCGCTGTGTTCCAATAATAATGTTACAGGCCCTGGAATGGTAATTTCCACGTCATAAAACATTCTGATTTTACTCCCAATATTTTGAGAGGTTTGGTTTGGTTTGGTTCAGTTCGGTTTGGTTCGGTTCATTTTTGAGACAAGATCTCACTAACTTGCTGGGAGTGGCCTTGAACTCATGATCCCCATGCTTAGGCCTTACAAGTACTGGGATTGCAGGCATGCCCCACCACACCTAGCTTCCCCAAATCATTTGAAAAAGAATTCTTATCTCGGCTATAGAATGAGAAGCAGTGGCTGGTTTGACCTTCAGACTGCGGTTTGCTGACTAGATCTAGATCCTTTTTTTTTTTTTTTTTGGTACCAGGAATCAAGCTCAGGACCTTGTGCTTGCCAGGCAGGCACTTGTGCCGCTCACCTATATCCCTGGCCCAGTTTGCTGACTCTTGACATAGATTCTTTCTGACGCTTGCTACTAGTGTTCTGGTTTATCGTCTTTAACAAAACACACCCTGTATTTTTTAGCTAAAGAAAAGGAAAGCCTGAGGGAAAGGTCCTAACTAGAGATGATAGAGGTTGGAGGAAGTCTGGCAGGAACCACTACACATAGCTCACACACACACACACACACACACACACACACACACACACACAGTGCGTGCCATTACATTGTGGAGTGTGAGGATTCAGTGTAGCAAGGGGGTGGAGGGAGTGTCCCCTAGAGAGCAGGTAGAGTGATGGGAAGAAGACGCCTGGGTACCCCACCTGCCTGCACTCACCTCTGCCTAACTCAGATTGAATAGAAGGTCTATCTTGGGACTAGAGTCAGTGGAGACAGACATTTATTGCCCTGGGGCCCAGCTCTCCCCTCACATCTGCTCATTGGCATGTTGCAGGCTGCATTTCAGGACCCTTTAGGAAAGGAGGCCTTGCCCTAGCCAAGGAGCAGTGGAGACTGCAGGGGGCTGGGGGTGGGGGAAAGGAACGTTTCTACCTTTATTTCCAGAAGAGCTTGGAGGAGATCTGTACCTGTACCTAGCATGAGTACATGCTGATGAGACAGGTTGGAGTTTGCGTAGCCAACAACGCTGAGACCCCTGGGGTCAGGCAGCAGTGCATAGAAAACATCATGGATGGTAGTTGCCACTGCTTAATCTTCCCCTGCAGAGCAGGGAGGTATAAGAAGGATCTAGACCCAGAAGACCAGACCTGGCGCTCTGGTGGGAGTTGGTAATCAAGGGGTCACATTTACTGGGCAAATTGGCACTTGGGTCCCTCAAGGCAGAAGCCAGTGAAGTAGTTGAGACTCACTGGTCAGCAAACATGACGGTATTTATACAGGGGATTTATGGGCAAGCTCCCTGGGCAGGCATCCCCTCCCCCTGGGGGCTCGCCACTTAATTGGGGTGTACAAATCTTACTGTCTTTTTGGTCTGCCCCACGGCATTCACTTCTAGCCATAGAATGGAGATAGGGAATGGAAGCCTCCTGAATGGGTTGGGACAGGTGCCAGTGGGCAAGTCCTAATGTAGGGGTGGGAAGTGTCACTAATATGGTCTGTGACTTGGAGGACTTACGTGGATATGGGCCATAATTTACTGTCTTTTACTTATTTAGGATATGGGCTACCACTGAGGGCTGAGGATGTGGCTCAGTGGTAGAGCATGTGCTTAGCACGCTGAGAACCTAGGTTCTGTGCCCACCACCCTCAACCAAAAAAAGACTGTACTGCGGAAAAGCTAACCCCACAATCTTACTGTTCCTCCTCCGACAGTCTCCTCTCATCAGTCCTCTGCCCAAACCAGCAGTGTTAAGGACTCGGTGAGATCATCATAGCCGAAGACACAGGAAAAGGACATACGTGGTATAAGGCACAGACACTGTGGGGAACCTACCTCCCAGGTTTGGCTGGCAGCAGTGGGAAAGGTGGGACATGAGCATAAAATTCAGGACCCCCAGGGGAGCAAAAGAAAGGGAAAAAACACAAGTGATCAGAGTGTCTCTTATGGACCAGACCCTCTGCCAAGGCTTCTGTAGTTAAGTAATTTGTTCGAGGTCACGCAGCCAATACGTGCTGAAGGTAGGATTTGAACTCAAGTCAGCCTTTCTGAGGAAAACACCATACCCCACCCCAGGCTGCGTTTCACAGTGTCAGTGGTTCTCTCCACCAGAGCACAAGCCCAGAGACAACGCAGAAAGGCCTTCTGCTTGGGGTTTCAACACGGCTCGGAGCCTGTCCCCTGCTGACTGCCCCATCCTGATGACCCACATCCCCCAGCACTCCTGTCTGTCAAGGCCTCATCAGCCTTGCAGAAGCTTTGGTCACACCAAGGACAGTCCCAGGACTCGGGCGCTGGCTTCACGTGGAGGAAGGGCCACTGCTTGTTGCAGTCACCTGAAAATTCCAGCACTGTTTGTACATGGGGTGATCAAAATACATGGGGAGTGTTTAAATTTTAAACGTGTATTACTTACTATACAAGACACATTGCCATTAACCCTCCTAAAATATCCCACTCACTTTGAATACACCTATCCCATTGTTCTTGCCACTTTTTGAAGCATTTCTAGAAGTTTGTTTGTTTTTAGACAGTGTCTCACTATGCAGCCCAGGATGGCCTCAAACTCACAGTGATCCTCCTGCCTCAGCTCCTGAATGTGGGGATTACAGGTGTGTGCCACCATTTCTCCTAGCCAGAAGGTCCTTTGTGTCTTCACAAGTGTAATCAAATATATGGTGAATGTGAGTGCCAAGTGCCATCCAATAGAAATGCAGGCTTGTAAAAACATTACAGTGTGTCCGCATCTGCCTTACTCCCCAGATCTGGCACTGTGTGACTTCTAGCTCTTCCCCAAAGTCCAAATGACCATGAAAGGTAAACGTTTTGAGTCAGTCAATTCAGGCCATTAAAGCAGCCAACACAGTGCAACT